AAGTACTGGTTCCTCCCTAACAGTTATGTAGTTAAGGAAAAAAGTAAAGGTCCCATGTCTTTAGGCGTGATGGGCTTATAGGGCTAGACCTATATTTGTATAGACCAATCGGCACAAGATGGGTGATGACGTCAGCATTACGCCGGCCGCCGTTACTTCCCAGGACTGCACCTTGTACCCATTCAAGGCTCGGTTGTACTGGGTGTCAGGGTCCTTTTTGAAAAAAGTCCGGCTCCACCAGGGAACGAGCCCATACACTTTCGATCCACACTCGAGCGTCTAGCCGCTACGCCACGGCGACTCCTACCGTTCTGTAGTGCCCCAATAAAACTGCTGATTGGCTTTGCTGCTTAACAGGATTTCCTGGATTTTTAAAGCTGTTAGCCCGGCTCGATAGCGTAGTTGGCTAAACCGGATTGCGCGGTGACCGGGTGACGAACTGCTTGTGGCTTGGTAGAAAAGCCACATTCCCCCCCCCCCCCCCCCCCGATTTACGGTATTTATCATGGGATCAAGCCCGAAGGGTTGCGATATCCATAATACTGAGCCAAAGGGTTAACAACTCATGGCTTCTGTATACTAAAAAAAAAAAAAAAAACAGAAAGTGCGGGTGTAGTACACACGCAGCTCGAGAAGGCGGCGACTCAGAGTCCGAGGCAGAGAGACAGAGAGAGACCAAGTCAGGGTCAGAGCCAGTATCACTCGAGTGAGACTGAGTGTTGAGAGACCGTCAGACAGACAGATCTTGTAACGGTTTCGTTGAGGCTGTCGGAGTACCGTGCAACTGTCAGACAGCAAGGTCTGAGTAAGGGTTGTGGTTACGGTACGTGTCAAAGGTATAGGCCCGCTGGCAAAGTAAGGCCAATGGGACTGGATGCTCCAATAGATACTGTTCTGTGTGACGGCGCAAGGAGACGTAGGATCACCATAGAAACAGAACAGTAGGGATGCCGACGAGAGCTGTGTGCAAGAGGGGGACTTAAGTTGAAAGTCCTGTCTGTCATCGGAGTCCTTCGATGGGTTGCTGTGCTGTGTGCACATGCTGGAGAACGAACAAGTGGAGTCCGTTTCCAGTCAGCCGTTGTTGTCTGCTGAAGTAATACTAAGGTTAAGTTGATAAGAGAGTTTTCCTGTTCTCCTGTACAGCGACCCCAGAGTTGTGGGAAGCTGTAGACCTTTGGAGCTGTAATGGTCAGGGAGAAGACGCTACAAGTTGAGAGAGAGAGAGAGAGAGAGAGAGAGAGAGAGAGAGAGAGAGAGAGAGAGAGAGAGAGAGAGAGAGAGAGAGAGAAAGAGAGATAGTGAGGACTATATAGAATAGGTGCGAATGCCAATTAGGATCAGTTTCTACATCTCTATGCGGTTTTGTTGATGCAAGGGCTTGTGTATACCTTTTTGTAACCTGTCGAATAAATCTGCAGTATGACGGAACTACTGACGTCGAGTCCTGCTTCGAAAGTGTGAGAGCGAAAGTTAAATCTATAAACATTTGGGAGAGTGCTGCTTAGTGTGTAACTCAGATAGCACACAACATATATATTGTGTGCTCTATACTTTTTCTTTCATTTGAGCTTCTTTTTTAGGGAGTTCGTGCCTGATTCTTTGTTATAGATTGTTTATCATATTGTTTTCTCTTCCTTGTTAAGGAGTGTATGTCTTATTCGTTCCCCTCTCCCACCTTTTTTTTAGCTTCGTTGTTATATAATGTTATGCGCTGATTTACTTTTCACTACCTGATCGATTTAGGTCACTTAAATTAAACTATTACCATTTAGACTGAAAAGCCCAATGGTACAGCGCATGTTCCTGGCATATTGCCTGCAATAGAAAACGTTGTCTCAGTATCAAAGGACACTATGCCAAACTCACTATTTAAATTTCGATGCCATAGATTGTTGTAATTAAAAATCTGAGACACAAGGGGCTGCAGGAGGTTTTATGTATAGATCTGCCTTTCTCTGGGAAGCTGAAATTCGCTGCTCGACAAGTTCTGTTTTTTTTGTAGCAATATTTTTTTTAAAATTAGTTTTGGAGTTGATGCTATCCTGTTCACAGCGTGAAGTGGCTGGGAGGACTGATTTTACTTATGTGAATATGACAGTTTTTGTTTTAAATTTAGTTAAGCTGTAGTACTTAGACTGTTCAGTTCATAGGAGGCTTGGTGTCTCTGTACAGAAGTTGGTGCAAGCATCCTGAGCCGATTTTAGGTGTGGCTCGGTGTTGCAATTAGCTTGTGTAACGTATATTCGCCATTTTGTTTTGTGTGGTTTCTTTACCAAAACCATCTATAAACATATGTGCCCTATACTGAAGGAAAACTAATTTCCGAGCTTAAAAAATCTTTTTGTTCTGAATCTGCTCTGTTTGGAGATTAGTAATCGGACTTCCAGAAGTGTACTGGACAATAATGAACAGTTTATCATTAGTTTTCGAGTAACAGCCTCACACACCATTTAATCAGTTTTTATATTTGCGTCACATTTTGTTCTCCATTTTTTCTTTCTCCCTTAAATCTACGATTTTGCATGTGATTTGGAAGCCTCTTAAACTTTTCAAATTAAATAAGATATGTGCTCTGCCTACGGGGATTTGGCGCGTGTGTTACTCGTAAGCTCTTACTTTTGAGCCATAATTTACATTCTAACAAGTTCGTTTTTGCTGCTTCAGTCCGTGAGATTGAGGCGTATTTCATAAAAAGCTTACCTGCTCTAGTTTAGACTAGCATTTATGTTTTTGTCCTGGCTCGCCAGTATGTTTCATCCACGTTTTTTTTTTTTTTTTCATTTTAGCTAAAGCATGCCTTTTAAGTGAATTTGATTTTATTCTTCTTCTTCTGAGTTTGGCTTCCAGGTGAGCCTGGTATCTAGTATAAACCCCCCCCCCCCGCCCGCCCCTTTCTTCTTCTTCTTCTTCTTCAAAAAAAAAAAAAAAAAGCTAGTAGTTCTGTGAAATTGGTTGATTTTCTGACATTAGTAACATTAATCCTTTGTGTGAATAAGAGAAAATACGCTGTCCTAATGAGTTTTCTTTGTTTTAGTTTTTGACTGATTTAGCTGAGCTTCTGAATGACAGTAGTCGGTAGCATTGTCTCTGTTATTACAGAATGTAGGTCGTCATTAATAAACCTCTCATTCCATATTGTATTAACGAATTCCGAAGGAGAAGCTCATAGGAGAGGAAGCAAACTTTTCCTGTTTGAGGATGAAAAAAACACAATCTAAATACATTTATGCTTGGGTTGACCAAACCCATAACCGTAGTTGGCAGTTTTCCTATGAGGAAAGCTATGACAGATGGACAGACAGAACAATGCTTTTCTGATCATACAGCTTTTGCTGTAGGCTTTGTTACGAATCTATTGGTGTCCCCTTTATTGTTGAGTTAACAAATCAGGCCGAGAGATTTACCATCCTGCCTAAACAACACATGACTTCTACAATATTGCCTAGGTTTTGTTCTCTAGAGATGAATAATTTCATCCCTAGCCCTAATTGACTGTGATTCTCATGCCTCTCTTTAAAACAATATAACACTATTGTCTGGAAAGACGAAAAAGTAAATTAAAGTTTCAGATCCCAATTTGTTGCATATTTCTCTGCTTTCTCCACTACATTTTTAAGCGGACAGGGGACTGTTGTGGTGTTTTCAATGGCCGTCTGATCAGCAAAATCGTCGACAAGCATTGGTTCTATATATCTCTCGTTCAGGAAGGCTGTTGGATGTTTACTAGTCAACTCATTAATTATTGTCACTTATGTAAATCCCGAACGGATTTGGCTCTTTTTCCTCTGCTGCTGTCCCTATCCGTCTCATTGACTGAACAGCTCAACGGTCACTTTTGCTGAAAAAAGATATTTATTTCAATTCTCTCCAATCTTTGAAACAGAAAATCTCTTTTCCACAAGTACATCTCGCGAGTATCTGTTGCTTGAATAAGTTTCAGCTCATGTTTCCAATCAGTGTAGAAGTATGCGAATATTAAAACAAAACTAAAGAATAACGTATTCTTTGCGAAGAGGAATTTGGAAATTAAGCACTCAGTATGACTTTAATCTGCAACACTACAATGAGAAAAGTACGAACAGTTTGTTAAAATAGTATCTTAACTCTCTATGTCTCTCTCTCTCCCTCTCGTTCACTCTCTCATTCTCCCCCCCCCCCTCTCTCTCTCTCTCTCATCTCGCTATCTTTCTCTCCACCGCTGTTTTGTGGTTTTGTTAATTCAATGCCACACAGCTGCATTTGAAGCTACTACCGGCCGCCTGGAACGCCCTAGCGCTTCCTTAATTTCATCGAGACCGCTTCCTCATCACTGGGCCGTCCAAATGCCGATCGGCACCTAACAGGTGATTTGGTCAACATTACACAACCCGCTTTTAATTGTCAGGACATTACGTAGTATCCATTTAAGACAGTGTCAACCTAGGAGCCCATGATACTTTTGGAGAAACAAAAATCCACCTGGATTCACACAAGAATTGAAAAGATTTCGCCAGGCGAGCGTGTAGGCAGTACGCTTGTTAGGCTCTCTTGTATGCAGGGTTTGGGCATTCTTTTTGCCCTCGGTCAGGTCAGGAATTAATAATTTGTTTGCAATACCCATAGAAAAATAAAATCAAATTTAAAACATAATTTCCATATTACCTCTCAACAAAATAATTTTGTAGGGTAATTTCGGATTATGTTCTTGACAGCCACACTCACCCACTGAAGGACTTTTATATATTCATAAGTATGTCTGTTTGAACTGATTATTTGTCGAAAGCATATTAATTTCTTTCTGCTCGCGAAATACTGAATCTGTGTTTTGCTTGTGTGTGTGTGTGTGTGTGTGTGTGTGTGTGTGTGTGTGCAAGCTCATGGAATTATGTAGCAAATTTTACACTAGCTTCGAGGGCCAGTAAAGATTGATCAGCGAGCCAGTTTTGCCAAGGGCGCCATATATGGCTTGCCCAGGCTTTTTGTCTGCACATTTGTCGAAACTCCTATCTCATCTACAGCAATACCCTTCTGTGGGCTCCGGCCAGCCTATTTCATCCCACGTAAACGAGCCGTTAGCCAGCTTCCGCAAGAAGACTTGAAAGAGAACGACAGTTTGGATGATCAAGAAATGGACAAGATAATGGGTGGTGCGTGGACATGGTATTATGAGCTCCCCTGGTACGCACATATCATATTTGAGAACAGAACACACGAATATACACTGTGTGGTGGCGCAATTGTCAACGATTACTGGATCGTGACCACGCGGCAATGTTTTAAGTAAGTATATTTAAAATTCAATTCAACAGCCATTGTTAAGTTTATTAAGCCTAATTCTAGTATTTATCTGCGTAATTTCTTAGTATTTAAAGATGTTGCATTCAACCAGTCTTTAAAAAAAATAATTCTTTCGTTCCTTTCTTCATTTTTTTAAAAAATTCAAAATATGACAACGTAAGGTTGAAAACACAGCTTCAAAAAAAAGCATCAAAATATCAACATGCACACATACACCCACAACACCCACACACACACATACATAAACACACCCACACACCTACACCCACACACCCACACTCACACACGCACAGACACAAGTTAGTTAGTTAGTTAGTTAGTTAGTTAGTTAGTTAGTTAGTTAGTTAGTTAGTTAGTTAGTTAGTTAGTTAGTTAGTTAGTTAGTTAGTTAGTTAGTTAGTTAGTTAGTTAGTTGGGTTATCCTCATTGCACTCCGGACATGTCCATAGGTGCTCAGATCCTCCCCTCAGTATGAACCCCAACGTCCGATGGCTAATAGTACCAGTTCTATGTTGATTAACAAGTCTTCTGGCGTGTCTGTTGTGCGTCTCGTTTTTTGCTGTACCGATCTTAATTCCCAAGTCTGCCATTCTGGCGAGTGATGTTGATTCACTGCCACCAAAGTCCTCTATCCTTCCCATTTCTCTGAGGGCATTGATAATATCAGCATGATCCATAGGCTGACCGTCGGTAGTGATAGCGGATCCAGCCAACCTGTCAGCTCTTTCATTTCCATCGACGCCTGCGTGTCGCGGAATAAAAATAAAGGTGACTCCACGCACAGTGGACTTCTGTAATGATTCAAGCCATTGTCTTCGCACTGAACCTGCCTGAACCCTCCGGATCATACTCATTGAATCACTTAGTATACATACGCGGGTGTATTTTTGTGTTTCAAGCCAAGCAAGCGCTTGCGTCACTGCCATCACCTCATCGTCATGATGCTGGTTGTCATGGAGAAGGCGCCGTTGGCTTCTTTGACTGTTCTGCCCGCTGAGCGTGCTGTAAATGCCCATGCGCTTCTTCTTTGGTGTATAACGGATCCGTCTGTTTAGACACAGACACAAATGCCAATCAATGAGCTATTTATATATCAAACTTGTACTTTCGGTGACAGATACGAAATTTTCCACACAAAAAAACATACACACAATTTTGCTGTAGTGTGAGATATGATCTGTAAGAAAGGAGGCCAGTAACAGAATCACAAATGAAAAAACGATGTAGGGACAGTACCGTTAAATAATTTCACCGTATTCAAAGAATCTATGGTTTGGTAGTCTGGTCAGAATGAAGCAAAAATCAACCAACCGATAATACAAAATTAAAATTGCAAGCTATTAGTCAAGAGGTCTACACAGAAAGAGATGGGTAGATGGAGTTATGGAGACACTACGGACAAAAAATATGACATTAACACAAATTACTCAGTTAACACCTCACTCCTTTGTGCGACGATTTGCAGCATAGGCAGTAGCATGGAAAAAAAAAATAACACAATATAACGGCGTCTTTGATCATCACGGTCGGGAGGTGGAAATGCTGAATCACATGCGATAGTTTCCCCGTGTGGGTTCCGGGGCCCTGCTTTTAGGGAAAACAAGAACAGACCCACTGCCTACCCAAAAGCATGTCGTAAGAGTCAACTAATTGGGAGCTTCCTTTGAAGTCGGATTGTATCTGCCTGAGAGGCAAAGAACCAGCAGTCTGCATACAAATAAGTCAGATCTGTAAAACAGATGCACATGCAACACTCAGGTTCTGGAACAGGACTGCAGTCCAGAAGTGTATGAACAACCAGAACTTTCTGCCAGAGTTTACAGCGGGTGAACGCAAAGAAGAAGAAGAAGAAGAAGAACATGGGATAGTGCACCATGTCTCGAGCTTATTCTGGTCCGGAGTGTCAACATATCTTTGCGGTCCTCTCTGAAACAGGATACCTGGTCAATGTATGTCGGATTGGCGTTTACTTCAAAGACGATGCCATCTGCCTGTTAGGGCAAGAAACAAACAGTCTACAGACATAAGCTAGATCTATGCCCATAAGCCAGATCTTTAAACGGGATGCGTGAACAACAATTAAGTCTTGGAACCATACCAAAGCCCAGACGTAGACGTACAACCAGGACTTTCCGCTAGAATTTATATCAGGCAAATAAGTGCACAGTTTTTGTCTTTCTGTTATCTGCCATTCTCTACCTATACTATTGCAGTGTATTAGGTAAAGGTAAAGTCGGGAGATGTGAACCAGCGTCACTGCACACGGTTATAATCTGTAAGTGCTCTGCCACCAGTACGGAAAGTTGATAAGAAACTGTCCGCCTGTGTCGCCGTCCGCACGCAACTCTGTAGCTACAGCGACGTTCCTCCATTTACCCTAGAGTGTTAACTTTGGCACCCATTTCCTAGAGGTTGGATGAGCCCAAGGAACCGCCCGGTTTCGAGTCGCAGCTGGATTTGAAAGCGAGTATCCTGTCGACTGCGCTAAGTCTGCCTCCTACAAGTTTATTAGCCCTTATGATTCCAGTCATTAATAGTGATTTTAAACAGATAGTGCATGTCACTTAAGTCATCACAATGCAGCAGGTTCTTAACAGGATGTCATTTTCAGCACAGCTCGCCTGAAAGGAACTCTACCTCTCATCATCTCTCCCTCCTCGTGTACTTTCCTGTCTAGTTACCTCTCGTCATCTCTCCCTCCTCGTGTACTTTCCTGTCCAGTTACCTCTCGTCATCTCTCCCTCCTAGTGTACTTTCCTGTCTAGTTACCTCTCATCATCTCTCCCTCCTCGTGTACTTTCCTGTCTAGTTACCTCTCGTCATCTCTCCCTCCTCGTGTACTTTCCTGTCCAGTTACCTCTCGTCATCTCTCCCTCCTCGTGTACTTTCCTGTCCAGTTACCTCTCGTCATCTCTCCCTCCTCGTGTACTTTCCTGTCTAGTTACCTCTCGTCATCTCTCCCTCCTCGTGTACTTTCCTGTCTAGTTACCTCTCGTCATCTCTCCCTCCTCGTGTACTTTCCTGTCTAGTTACCTCTCGTCATCTCTCCCTCCTAGTGTACTTTCCTGTCTAGTTACCTCTCATCATCTCTCCCTCCTCGTGTACTTTCCTGTCTAGTTACCTCTCATCATCTCTCCCTCCTCGTGTACTTTCCTGTCCAGTTACCTCTCGTCATCTCTCCCTCCTAGTGTACTTTCCTGTCTAGTTACCTCTCGTCATCACTCCCTCCTCGTGTACTTTCCTGTCTAGTTACCTCTCGTCATCTCTCCCTCCTCGTGTACTTTCCTGTCTAGTTACCTCTCATCATCTCTCCCTTCTCGTGTACTTTCCTGTCCAGTGTGTCGTGTATAACCATAGATATGGTTCTTCTCAGCCCACTGTGGCTTTTGATATAACCACAATATTTGAGTTTCCGAGGAGAAAAAAATAATTGTTCACAAGCCAATCTAGATTGACGTACATGTATTTTAGGTTATCAGTACTTCATGTCTAAATGGTTCCCAAGTATTCGAAATATTTTTTTCTATAACACTTCAGCTATAAAACATATTTTATTCCAAAATGATTGCAAGATTTTTTTTTTTTTTTGGTATACCGTATCTATCAATTCTTTCTAACTCGAATGCGAGGTCTAGCTATACCAGTTGGAGCAGCGCGACGTGACAACCATGCTAAACCTTACAGTCACTACATCATCATCATTATGTGCCTTGCCGACTGGAGTGGGCGATCATGACTCTCCATAATCTCCTGCAGCATGTATCATTTCGTGTGCCGACACACCTCCATGCCATGCAACAAGACTGTCAAGCATCTTCTCTCGTTGTCTTCCTCTATATCTCATTCCACAGATCCACTGGAATCCCCATTCACGTCGTTATCTGAATTCCTATTATTTTAAGGCATGCTTTTTTGGGATAGTGGTTTCCCCTTGCCTTCCGCCGGTTTGTATATGGTTTGACTCCAATAGCCTTTGTCTAAAGAGACTTATGGCGCCTCTTACCCGCCGATGGCCATGTTATGGAGTTTTGAGGTATTTTATAGATTTAGCTGTCCCACCAACTAACTCGCCTACTCTCAATGACCATCACCTGTTTTGGTCCACGGCCACTTATTCAATATATTCGTGGCTAACCTCTATATCTAGAGGCCTTTTTACCATCCGCTACCTGGTGGACGCCCCTAGTAGTAGGACAGGCTCTTACCCCACGGTCACCACATCAATCAACATAAAACAGAAGTCGTCAGCACAAACAGGTTAAGAAACATTCATTCATTCATTCAGTAGCATGTCCCTCGCGGAACCTCGCTGCCATAACAACCCTCCGGAAAACCTTCCTATCCTGAGCAAGATGTCCTGCGTCTGATACACCCATCTGGAGATCATCTGCCACACCCATCTTCTCCTTGGCCTTCCTCTTCCTCTCTTCCCAGGCATATACCCCTCCATTATTGTTCTCTCTAGACTTCCATGACGTTTCAAGTGACCAAAATATTTCAATTTTCTTTGTTTTATTGTCTTTACTAGCCAACCCTCTTCAATATTCAGCTCTTGAAGTATGGATGCATTTGTTCTTTTCTTTACCCAAGATATTCTTAGAACCTGTCTGTAACATTTATATTCAAATGCTTAAGAAACATAGTTAGGAGAAAATCTGAGCACTTGTGTGAATGCGCTACGTGCAGTGAGGATGATCTTGAAATGACTAATATTTTATCCAACTATTTTAATTAAATATCAACATCAACATCATCTGCCATGCCACTGGCGTAGGCGATCACGATCTCCACAGATCACGATCCCTGGTTGACTGGAACCCCTTTTTCCACTGATCTTTCCAGTTGTCACGATGTTCTCAAACGTCTCTCTTTTCATTATGTGACCAAAGAAGAGTATTTGTCTCTTTGTTATTGTTGTATATAAAGATCGACTTTCATTAGCCTCTTTCAAGCAATCGTTGTTAGTTACTCTGGCCGTCTAA